CAACACTGGTCTGTCTTGTTTCCCAGATGTGTGTCCACGGGTAGGTATCCGTGTTGGGTGGTGGGTCCCAGCAGTGTCTGCAGCGTCAAGGTGCTTGTTGGATGAGGAATGGAAGATTCTGGGCTGTGTCACCTTGAAGGACCCTTTTCTTGTCTTTGGTCCACCCCTGAAATGAGGACATACCCACTGAGCTCTGGTCCCTTATGCCTCTGACCCTTCCCAGTCCTGGGGTGGGGGCATGTGGGATTTTCATGTGACCATGCAGGCAAGGACCCGAGGCCCCTGTCACGGACGCACATGTAGGAGAAGCAAACCACGTGTCCCACTGATTCCGTTCCTGTGCCTTCAGTTCAGGAGGGCATGACAGGAGCCTCCCAGCCCTCCCCCCAGGTCAGCCCATATTGGCCTCCGTTGGGGTTCCCCCTGGGAATGGCCTCCTTACTTCACACTAGCTGCTCTGGGCTTACTTTCTTCGCTCAACTAGTGTCCCGGCCCCACGCCCAGTCGGACTCATTCCTGACGCCAACAGAGTGGCTCCTGGTGTGGATCACCGTGGCTCACTGGACGGCCGAAGGGCGGGCTCCGGTGCTCTTGTTGGGTTTTGCTGCTCTGAGGGTGGCGACGCGCCGGGACTCTGGAATGACTCCCATCACTGTCCCTGCTCTCAGCAGCGCCGGAAGAAGAAGGAGCCTGGTGCGTGTTTGCTCGTGTGACGTGCTTGCTGGGTCTGAGGAGGGGTTCTGTTCCACCTGGGGACTGACTGGAGCTGGAGGCCACCCCTCTGAGCCTGGGCCTGGTGGCGGCCGCTCACCTGCCATGCCAGCTGAGGAGGTCCCGGCACTCTCTCCATTGGGGAGTTTGAGCAAGAAGCTGAACCACCGGGATTCGTGCCTTTCCCCTCACTACAGGCTGGTTGTTGAGCCTGGAAGCAGTGTAAGCCCAGGGCCCAGCTCTTTATTTAAACACATGGGGTGAAATAGAGAGAAACGGGCCACTGTACTACACAAAAGATGGTTCTGCAGAGGAAGTGAGCAGCGGGTGTAGGTCATTTGAAGGCAGAAGGAGAGGAGCCTCATTGGAGAACCCCTCGCAGACGGAGGGCCCCGGGGCCGGGCTCGGCTCCCTGCATCCCACGCCTGTTGCCTGTGTCCCGCGGTACTGGGGGTCAGCCCTCCCTTCCGGCAGACCTTCTGTCCCTAAAGGCAGACCTCCTCTTTATTGCTTGACAGTTCCACTCCGTCCCCCTCACCCGATGACCAGTGCTGGAGCCAGAGACCAGCCCCGAGTCCGCAGACAGGGCTGGCCGTGCCAATGTCTAGTGCGTGCTGGCACAGTCCCACACTGAACGCCCCCCACCTTGCTTCCTCGGCTCTTCCAGTAACAGCCTGGGCACCCCTGAGTACGGACCATGCTCACAGCACTGAGCTGAGCGCCCATACTATCCCCCTTTAGAAATGAGAAAGCCCTGTCTCGGGGGCCATTCGGCAACTGCCCAAAGCCACAGCTCACCGGCCAGTGCACAGCCAGGTCTGTCTGAGACAAGGTCCACACCCCAACCAGGCGCCCTTGCTTCCCGGAGGCCAGCCCGCCTCAGGAGTTTCCAGCTCAGGCCTGGGCTTTGGAGCCCAGAGGCTGGGCAGGGAAGGAGGGAGGCAGGAGGTCTCCACAGTCCTGGCCTGGTGCTCAGAAGAGCTGTCCTCCCCCAATCAGTCAGAGCTGGCCAAGCGGTCAGGCAGGGCCATGGGGGATGGAGGACAGGCTCCGGCATGAGGGGTCTCTGGAGGCTCCAGGTCCACCTCGAAGCCGCTCACACTAGAGGCAGAGGGAGGCGGGGAGGGGCCAGGGGGACGGGCACACCTGAAGGTGCAGTGGGACAGGAATTTCTCCCGGGGCTGAAAGAATGTTTTTTTCCATCATTGATTTTTTACAGCAAAACTTTACAGCAGTGCTGGGACGACTTTATTTCCCAAATTCTGACAGCTGAATGTCTGTGATGGAAGTAAGCTTTCCACGATTCTCCTGGTAGTTTCCCGGCTTTGATTTCTACATTTTCATCTTCGCTTCATCTGGATTTTTGGTGTGGGATCTCTGAGCTACGGGACAAGCTTCGAGAACCAATTCAGATTGTCCTAAGGGGAATAAAGAAACCTTTGTCTCACTGAGGGAGAGTTAGAAGTCTGTCAGCGGCGGCTGCCAGCGGCTGGGTCCCGGAGCTCGAGCGACGCCCTGGGTGCCCTCCTCCCCCTCAGGCTGGGTTCTTCCTGGGCCAGGCTCCTTGCAGGCTGGGGAAATGGTACCAAATCTTCCAAAGTCGTCTTCCCTCTCTGCCGCAGGCTCAGCAGGACAAAGAGGTCACGTCTCCTTCCTGAACTAAAAGCCTGCTGGAGGGTGGGCCGCTGAGTAGAGGGGTGGGCGGTTTCAGGGAAGCAGAGGGGAGGTCCCGGGAAGGGGACAGAGGCTTTCTGGCCGTCACCCACCCTCTCCCTCCTGCTTAGATGCCGCACTTGGCCTCATCGGGAGCCATTTCTGGCCTCTGCCGTGCCGCCCATCTCTTTGTCCGTTTATGTGTGCCAAATCGTTCTCCCAAAGTCTCTGTTTCATGTGTCGGGTGGTTGGTAAGTGGGTGGTAAGTTGGCGGTACTGACCCATCGCTCTTCCTTTCCAGAACTTTCCTGGCCACTATTACATTATGTGTTTCTATTTGAATTTTAGAATCAGCTAGTCTGTCACCAGGTCTTCTGTGTTATTGGGACAAACGTGTGGGCCAGGCGCGGCGCCCACCTTTCATCCACCTGCCTGGAGAGGCCCCGGCTTCCCGCACCCGAGCCCTCCTGCCCTCCTGTGGTAACAGGACAGCAACCCCAGAGATTGTACACGAGGCTCATGAGACGTGGTCCTGTTCGCTCATGGTGAGATGGTGGGCTGCTCCCCTGTTCCCAGAACCAGGGGACAAAGGGCAGGAAGGAGCCCCCATCCACGCTGCAAGCTTTGGCAAGAGAAGGCAAGCCCTAAGGTCATGTGTGCCCCCCAGGGCTTCCACAGTCCAGTTTCAGTCTCGGTCTCCAGGCTGGAGGGGTGGGGGACTCGGGGGAAAGACACTCTGCCCTCTAGCAGCTGGGGCCGGCCTGAGCCCGCGATCAGGGCAGGCCTGCGGGGTCAGGCCGCTCCTCGCTCCAGACTTCAGCAGCAAGGGCCTGGACCCCTTCCAAGGGGGGAATCCACGGGGGCCTCTGAGCAGACCCCAGAGGCCCCCAAGCTGGGCTCTGCCCACTGCTTACAGCCCGCACTGGCCCTTGGAGACGGCCGTGTTTACCGCCTGTGCTCAGCGGGGTATGGTATCTCAATGTTTTGACATTTAAAATCTGTGGTGGATACATTTGTTCTGTTTAAATTGCGCTGGGCCGAGGTGAGTCACAGGGAATTGGTCTGTCTCCTGGGCCCAGAGCCGATGTCCTGCTGCACCCCAGCCCAGCTTCCAGCCCAGGAGCAGACTCAGAAACCTTCCTGGAGTGGCCTCTCTGCCCCTGTCACCTCCCCACCATCCTGCGGAAGGTGGGTTCCAAACAGCAGAGCTGGGAAGGGGCCCCACCCGGGAGCTGCCCCCCGGCGCTGCAGACACAGGAGAGAAGGGTGCCGGCGTGGGAGCTGTCAGGAGCTCAGGCAGACAGTGAGCAATGCACCCTGGGGGCCTGGGGCTTTTCTCTGGCCTGTGTGTCCTCCCGTTCAGCAGAGCCTTGTTCCAGTGGAACTGGAGCTGACCCTCAGGCCACTGCCTCCTGGGAGGCCTCATGGCCTCCTGGGTGGGGCCTGGAGCACTGTGAGGGTGGGCAGGCCCTCTGCAGGTCTGAGCTGGAGGTCGCAGCCAGCATCTGCTCAACGGAGCAGGCATGGGAGCCTGCCCTGCTCTGGACAGACGCCCGGCCGCCAGGAGGGCCGCAGAGGAAAGCTGCCCGCAGCCGTGGTGGCCGCCGGGGCTGGCTGGGCTCTGCCTGTGTGAGCAGGACAGAGGTGTGGCCGTCCTCACCCCGGGGAGACCGTCTCGGTCGAACGATTGAGGGTCCTCGGGCTGCAGGCAAACCTGGTTAGGGGCGGCAGGAGGGGCCGCCTGGAGCCCGGGGAGCCCCCGTGCAGACCCCTGGAACTTTCCAGGGAGTCCCAGCTGCCAGGCAGGAGCCAGGGCAGGCGGCCTCTCCAAGGGCAGCCCAAAGCCTCTGGGAAGGTGAAGTTCAAAGGGAGCACACGGGGCAGCTTGGCAGGGCCTGGGACGCGCCCTGTGACTCCCCTCGCAGGTGAGGTCACCCGGCCCCTGCCACGGAGCAAGGGGCACCAAAACCTGCCCTGGGAGGTGACACCAGTTTTAGGACTGGCCCCAGGGGATACCTGTTCCCCGTCACCCACCACGGCCGCCCTCAAAGGGGCTGCAGGGATTGGTCTTAGCCTGGTGTCCTGGAAGGGCCCGGTCAAGTGTCGCCCAGCCCCTCTGACTGTCCGGGGCTCAGTTTCCCCGGATACAAATGACGTGGAAGTTAGAGGTGCTCGTGAGAAGCTCTTTTCAATGAGCTGAGGGGCCGTGGGTGGGGCAGGAGAAGGGTCTTGCCTGTTTGTCCAAACGTGGACCGTCCACATACGGGAGGGATGCTGGGCTTGGCCATCCTGGAGGAGAGCCCGGGGCTCGGGGACTGCAACCATGACGCATTGTGTCCTGACCTGGGAACATCGAGCCCAGCCCTTCACCACAGCAAGGACACACCAGAGTTTGTACCCCGCACTGTCGGTAGGCTGAGCCCTGTGCAGAGGGGTTTGCCGACGTGGTGGACAATCTGCGAACCCCTTCTGAGCCCGGGGTGGGTGGGAAGCAGGTGGCGCTTGAGCGTGCCCTGCCATCTGCCCCAAAAGACCAAGCACCTTCCATACTCCAGGTCCCAGCCTGGTGGGGCAGATGGCAGGGCGGTGTCCCCTCCACACCAGCCTGACAGCTGTCCTTCTCTGCCTCTCTGCAGATTAATACCTTCATGTCCTTTGTGTTCCCCATGGTGGTCATCTCCATCCTGAACACCATCATCGCCAACAAGCTGACCGTCATGGTCCGCCAGGCCGCTGAGCAGGGCCAGGTGTGCACGGTTGGGGACCAGCACAGCTCATTCAGCATGTCCATCGAGCCTGGCAGGATCCAAGCCCTGCAGCATGGCGTCCGGGTCTTACGTATGTAACCTCTGGGCCCTTAGGTATGGGTGGCAGCCAGGGGCCAGCAGAGCAGCAAGCCACACACCACCAAACAGGGCAAAGTGTGAGACCCAGGCAGTGGAGCAGCCCCAGCAGAGACTCCGAAGCCTGACTGCACCCAGAGATCAGTGCTCTTTTCTCCATCCACTCATCTACCCGTCCACCCATCCGTCCGTCCGTCCGTCCGTCCATCCATCCACCATCTATCCATCCATCCATCCATCCGTCCGTCCGTCCATCCATCCACCATCCATCCATCCGTCCGTCCATCCATCCACCATCTATCCATCCATCCATCCATCCATCCACCCATCTCTCTCTATCCACCATCCACCCACCCACCAACGGGTCTGTCCATCCATCTACCCATCCATCCCTCCATCCACTCATCCGTCCGTCCATCCATCTCTCCCTTCTTCTATCCGTCCATCCATTGACCCAATCACCCATTAACCCATCATTCCATCCATCCATCCTATCACTCATCCATTCACCGACTCCCAAGTCTCTTGAGCATGGACTCAGGGTCAGGCAGCTTGCTCACACAGCCATGGAGCAGCAGAGGTGTGGGTTACCGCGTGTGCCGAGAGACTGATGCCGGCTGGAGAGACATGAAGTGCAACCCCCCAGACGGCGGCCCACACTCTGATAAGGAAGCCTGAAGACCAGCCCTTACAAAGACCCCAAGCCAGCCCCCTACACAGGAGAGCGCAGGGTCGAGCTTGCGCTCTTGTGGGTCATGGTGCTCCCTGTGGGGGTCCCTGGGCCTGGCTTGTGCCCAGAGACGGCATCCTTGAGGAGGGCTCTTTCTCAAAACACCCTGCCCCCTAGTCCCCACCGCTGAAGGCAGCCCCACACAACCCAGCGCCCACCCCGACCCCGACCACCGACCTCGTGCTTCCCAGCAGCCCTCCCAACTGCTGTCACCTTCACCCCAGCGGACGGGCCACCTGTCCTGCAGTAGCCACTGTTTCTTGGAAGAAAGAGTCCCAGAGCTGCACCCCACACACAATTGTAAATGCTCTAGTAACCACATTTTTTAAAGAAGAAATAGATAAAATTCATTTACATAATTAATTTGGGCTAATATTTCCAAAGTCTTGTCATTTCAACATTAGTCATGGTAATAGTGTAAGAGCGTTCCTCAGCCCACAGTCACCTTGTGGCCAGTGACCAACAGGCTGTGTCCAGGGGTCAGCAACACAGCCTTCGCTTCTGCTGTGTCAGGGACAGGCTTCCTGGAACATTCCAGTGCCACCGACCCGTCTCCTGCCACCAACAGGCAGCCCTCCCATCATGGGGTCTCCCCCAGGCCAGGTCTCCTGGGCCAGTGAGGTCAGGGCAGCCACCAAGGGGCCCGGGCCCCCAAACCAAGCACCTGCGGTAGGTTCCCCCCGTGACCCAAGATGAGGACATACCATGTCCAGGACGAGCTTCTCTTGGCACCAGGACAGCCTAGCCAGCCCCGGGTTCTCCCAAGTGGCTTTTTTATTGCTTTCTTTTTCACTGTGGTAGAATGCACCTAGCATGCGATTTGCGGTCTGGATCGTCTATAAGTGTCCGTTCAGTGGCATTACATACGTTCATGCCATCGATCTCCAGAACATTTTCATCTTACCAAACTGAAACTCTGTCCCCGTGAAGCACTAACTCCCCGGTCACTCTTCCCCAAAGCCTGACAACCACCCCCTCCTCTCCGTCTCTATGAATTCGGCCACTCGAGGGGCCTCAGTAAGTGGGATCATCTTTTTGTGCCTGCCTTATGTCTCTGAGCATGATGTCCTTACCGTTCGCCCAAGTCGTGGCAGGTGTCAGAATGTCCTTTCTTTTTAAGGCTGCGCGTACTCCAGGGTCCGGACACACTGCGTTTACCCGCCGGGCGCGTGGACACCTGGGTTGCTTTCGCCTTTGGGCCGCCGTGAACAGTGCCACGGGCGTACAAACATTGGGTGGAGTCCCTGCTTTCAATGCCTTGGGGATTATACTCAAGGGCAGAATTGTTGGGTCATAGAGTAATTCTATTTTTAATTTTTTAAGAACTGCCATACTGTTTCCCAAAGTGGGTATTTTGGGTACCCGCCGGACGTCTGAAGTGGACATTGCATTTTGCATTCCCACCAACCCTGCAGAAAGGTTCTCATTTCTCCACATCCACACCAAAAATCACTATTTTCTCAGGGTGTAGGTGTTGGTTTGTTTTATAGTAGCCATCATGGCATGAGATGGTACCTTATTGTGGTTCGGGTTTGGATTCGTCCCAGGGGAGTGACGAGCACGTTCCCATGTGCTGATTAACCACTTGTGTGTCTTTGGGAAAATGTCTGTTCAAGTCCTTTGCCCATTTTTATTTATTTTTTTTAAAAGATTTTATTTATTGGCGTGCCTGGGTGGCTCAGTGGGTTAGGCCGCTGCCTTTGGCTCAGGTCATGATCCCGGGGTCCTGGGATCGAGTCCCGCATCGGGCTCTCTGTTCAGCGGGGAGCCTGCTTCCTCTCTCTCTCTCTCTGCCTGCCTCTCCGTCTACTTGTGATCTCTATCAAA